AGAGAGAGAGAGAGAGAGAGAGATGGGGGGAACAGTGGATAAAAATCGGTCCGAAAATTTTAACTAAATTCTGTTTCATAATTGTGTAAAATATAGTTAGTAAAATTTCTTACGCGTTGCTTCTTCTTCACAAGAAGAATACATTTCTTCGCATGTATCGAAGATACATGGCTCTCTTCACCAACTGCCATAAATTTATTATTGAACACACAGTATGCGCCTAACTCAACCTAATCTTTCCCGACGGAGGATAAAATGCGTATCACGGGATGCGCGAGCATCTAGATTGGAGCTCTTCAGAAATGCAACCCTGAGGAATGCGACGTTATGTAGAGGCTCGTGAAATTCAAGACTCCCTCGACGCAATGTGCATGATTCTTACATTTATGCGTTTTCTGCGCACATCTTTTTGCCATATATTTGCTATGCAACCGTTTCGGATCGCGTACTTCGTATATTTCTTCATATCTCGCGCAGCTTTTTCTAATGTGCAAGCTATATAGATGCATGAGCTGCGATTTGAATTGCAATAAACTTGACATTCAGTATATTAAATGTAAATACTTTTAAATGTAATTATTATTTTTACATTACTCGCATATACTTACATATATTATAAAATACTTTATTTTTATTTTACAGATAAAAATTAAGATTTTTTAAGTAAAAACTTGTTGAATTTATAAAAAAAAAAAAACTACTTGTATGACTTGCACAACTTTTACATGTGACAGATATACATTAATAATAAAAATTACAGATACAAAATAATAAAAATAGTGTTGGACATATTAAGCAATTATTCCAAACCTATGTATCTAATCTATATATTCTATGACTGTAATGGTTAAATACTTTATTGTTTTATAATTGATAGCATTGAAGGTTCTCAGTTACTTTTATGTTTTAATGTTTATTCAGGTCAAGTCTACCATCTTTTCTCTCTCTCTCTCTCTCTCTCTCTCTCTCATAGGCGTGCCCTTCTTGTTTAGACGTGCTTTTATACTTCTCGAACTCTGAGTCTTGTTATAATAAATCAGAGAAATATAGTATAATCACTTGGCTCGCTTTATTTCTCACGAGATAACCCTGCACAGAACCGACTTCTAACAAATAGAACCCTCCGGACATGGCGTAATTGTTACCTCTTATTACGAATACCGTAAACTTCCAATGGAAGCCTTGAAAATGATCGTATTGAATTTGCTTTAGATATTGACTTCGAAACAATAGAAAACACGAATACTTATATCAGCAATTTTTTATTTGCGCTCCAGAGGCTTTCCTTTTCTTCACGGCAAGAAATTATTCATTATACTTTACGTTTCTTAAAAACATTTCTGAGAGGCTATCGATAAAAACTTCGGTCGAGGCACAAAGAAACAGAAGGTGGTGAAGTTTTAACGTTTCCCATTTAATAAATAGCTATTATTAGTGACAACACATATAATACACAAAACATTTAATAGATAAATTATTTGATGTGCGCGTAAGAAATATTGCAAATATTATAAATATATAATAACGCTACAAACGCCAAAAAAATTCAATTATAAATATCTTATTTGGCAGATATCTGTTGCACAAATTGAACGAGATGAAAACGATTTGATGCTCTCTCTGTGTTCTTCTATCTCTATCTCTATTTCTTTTTCTGTGTATCCCTTTTCTTCCTTTGTTCTCTCTCTCTCTCTCTCTCTTCATACGTTTGTGTATATACATGTGTAGAGATGAAATCGATTACAGCGAGAAGAGAGTACCACGTAGCTCTATTATAGTGCACTTTTCTTTGTCCGATTTTCCTTTCTGCATTTTCTGCTTTCACTCGACCTGTGAAGTGAAATCGCTCAAAGCATTTTTCGACATTTACCCTCGATAAAGCGCTTTATTCGCTTGTTCGTCGCGCTCGTGGATTTGAATGTGCGCAAAAAATTATTTTATAAAAACGGTTTTTTTATTACATTCAGTATTGAGTCTTTATTGAAGAAACTGTAAACAAACTGTGAGTATTTCATTTATTTGCGCATAAAAGACAGAAACTTTTATATTCTAAATAATTTCTGCGCGAATTAATCAGGTTATTGTCAATTTTCAAAAATTGATAATAAAAATTAAAGATTTTAAAGATTAAAAAAATGAATCCGTTGCAGGATATCGTAAATTGCAATATTTTTCTTCTCTAAGCTATGTTTCTTTGTCTTTTCTTCTGATGTACAAATTCTGTGTGAAATATCGTTCTTAGGCACAAGTTCTTGGAAAGAACAATTCACGGAAGCGCTCACCGTCAGTGGGGGTGATGATGGTGACACAGAGGGTCAACCTTCCTCACCATCCGCGATGGATTATCTTATGCACTCGCTTACCATCTTCTGGAAAGTCCTCTTTGCCTTCGTTCCGCCCACAGGTGAGTAACAATTTTTTCTTCATGTTAATATATCATCGCTTACTATATACATATATGAAGCAGACCACTTTAATTACATCCCATTTTTTATTGCCTTTCCACATTTCTTATTTAAAAAAAATTCTTGATTATCATTTCTTTGATTTTAGATAAAAGTGTTTTAAATAAGAATTTCACATTTCTCAATAAGCACTTTGTACAAGATGTCTATGTTATCAAAAATTTTTAAAGTACATATTTAATATTTAAATACTTTGACTTCTCTTTATCACTCCACTATATAAAAATATTATAGCAGGTAATCAATAGTTGCAAAACGTCTCATATTTTCTTAACAAATTTTAATATAAAATAAAATTTGCAATAACTTATTTATTATTTGTATATTATTTATTAAATAAGATTTTTTTCTCGGAAATTGATTATATTATTTTATACGTGTATGTAAAGATTGTACAAGAAAATTTTTATCGACGATTCTTATGACCAAAATTTCGATAAAAACATGTGTTTGTTGAACGATTTCACAAATTCGATTAATTTTATCAGCATTCAAAAAGACGTTTTCTCAGCACATCCTCAGAATAATAATTTGCTCGTGATTGGAAATGGTGGTCTTAATCTTACATGAAAACGACGTTGTTAGATACGAAATTGCCACGTGATGAAAGGTAAAGTGAATTTTGATCGAAATGCATTTATGATGGTGCAAACTGCAAAACAGAAAGCAGCACACCTAGACTGTCTCACGAAGATTATTTTACGTGTGCGAAGAGATTAATTACATATCGTTTGATATACAATAATAACACAATACCTTTCGAAAAATAACTGTAAAATTTGAAAACCAACGTAATAGGTTTTCCAATAATCTGTATTAACATGAAAGAACATGAAAAACATGAAAATATAGTGTTTTACATAAATATTGATTATCTTTGAGTATAAAAACAAATGAAGGAATTCGTATATTTCCTTGTAACTTGTGAAAAGAGTTTTAAGAAAGTCGATTCTTATTGTTTGTGTAATTTGATTTCTTGAATTTTTCACGGATTTTCTTCGTGTCTTTTATTTTTGATATTTCTTTAATTTTACTTTGACTTTTTCCTGTATTTTTTGAGATACGGAAGAGTTCTTCTTTAGTCATGGCTCTGCTTCCATCCAGGTGGAAAAAAATGGTGGAGGAAAGATGGTAAGAGTAGGATAGAGGGAGGAGAAGACGTGCTTTATTTCAGCAAGCACAATCGCAAAGGCCTGCTGAACTGGCAAAAGCTCTGGAAACTACTGTATCGAGCAACGTAATTTCACCTTGTTTATCTTTCTCTTTTTTTTCCGCCGTCCTTATAGATCAACGCTTCCGTGCAGAAGCGCAAGACACAGAATTGTATTTACTTCCATTCCTCTCCTCTATATTTTATCTTTTATAAGAAAAAGCTTAATTTCCGGACAGCCAGAAATTACCGAAGCAATCGAGGAATTCTTAAGTTAGAATATAATAAGTAAATATTCCATCTTTTCAAAAGAAGCATAATTGAATTAATATAAGAACATGTACGATTGAAATAGTACTGTAAGTATTAAAAAGAATTAAGATAAAAAGTTTTGTGATAGCGAAAAATATTGTATTCTTCTTTATAATTGCTGATTATACATTGAATATTCTGTTTACTTTTGTAATTCGTTCAGATCCAAAATTTAGAATTATGCAACCATACGGATTATGCAACCATGATATGTGGTTACAATGGAATGAGCAAGGCTACGAGATTTATGAACGCGTCATTTTATACTAAGCGCAATTTTCTGCGGTGAGATATGTTGCTGGAAAAGCTAGCAAAATCCGAAGATAATGGTTGAATTCCCAAGAACTTAATTTGCAAGTTATGTATATAAACGCAGAAACAAATAACAAAATAATCTCGCTCGACTAAGCAAAAGCTAAATAATTTAAAACGGCCAATTTTCGAGCGATTAAAGGATGTTAAAAATATACTTAATAAATATACTTAATAATTTCAATAAAAATATACAATCGTTAACGTTTCGAGCCTTACTTGGCCTTCTTCAGAATCATAAAAAACTAAAAAAAAACGCATTACAAGTGTCTCGTATCAATTCGCAATAAAAGAATCAGAGTCGATCTGGCGCATGGCGCCTCAATTTACATTAATCACAGTAGATCTCACCCATGAATAT